AATGGTAAAGAGTGTTGGAATTACTGTAAAAACAGCTACAAAAAAAGCTATGCAAAATTGTTTTGATGTGTACTTCAGTTTAAAAAAACAAAACACATGGGAAATACTTACAGCTTTGTATAGAAACATACCAGAAACAAAAGTACATGCAGAGAAGAAAAGTTAGAGTTTAAGGCAAGTACTGAAGTACTGTAAACCAGCAGCAATCTGTTGGGGAAAAAAAAAAAAGAAAGAGTGCGTAATTTTCTTGCAGGATTGGGTTTTGTGGGTTTTTTTTTGTGGTTGGAAGTTTTTTTTTGTTGGGTTTTTGCTTTGTTTTTTTTTGTTTTGGTTTTTTTTAATAAAGCTTCCAATTTTGAAAATGCAAGACAAAACTCCTCTGCATTTGTGTTCTACGCCTGGCTCAGACTTCTTTCAGTTTTACAGTTTGGTTCAGATTCTCATGGTTTAATGTACAAGTACAGTACATGCTACTAGGACTACTCACTGCAAGTTTTCAAAGTCTGCTCTTCAAAAACCAGATACAACAGTGTCACCTTTGTTAAAGGTTGATGTCAAAGTTTCAGTTCTGCTGTTAAAGGGTTTCTAGACATGAGAATAGAAAAGTCAGATTTACGATCAAGAGACAAGCAAAAAGCTCTGTAAAACATACACAAGTTAGAATAAGACTTTTCCTATAGCAAATAAAAGTCATCGGGGACTTAGTGTTGTGGTTTTTTGTTGTTTGTTTTTTTTTTTAAAAAAAACACATTTCTTTCTAGGTTTCAGAAGTGCTGACAATTCCAGTAACAAAACCTCCAATGTGCCTTGGCTGTGTCTCTCTTTTTAGTGTCTTTTCCAAATGGTATTCAAACATGTTAGAAACCCTCTCCTCTAATCAACAGTTATCAGTTTAGCATCAATTTATTAGCAAGTCAGATCCTTAAATATTATGAATATTCAATAGTTGTAATCAATTTATTTGTGACCATATAAAAAAGCACAGTTACATGCGACTGCACTGTCAGGTCTATAATACACCAAGTAAGATTGCAAAAATAAAAGGCAAAAAAGTAAAAAGGCCTCAAGTCTCCTTTTTTCGTTGTTTGGGTTTTTTTACTAACTGTCTCACAGCAAAAAAAAAAAAGTAGCAAAGGTTTAACCTTAAATACAAAAGTTATAATGCGCAAATCAGGTCCTCTAATCCAGATTGACGGTACACTTTGTTTCAACTGAACCACCCACTACAAACTTGCAATGCCAGCACCCACTCACACTCTGAAGTGCTCCCCAGCCTTGTCCACCCAATCAACTATTTATACCTTATTTTAAGCAGAATAATAAAAAAGTTGTTTGTGGTTTTGAAACAGTTGGTCTGAATTCTTTAATACCACACTCAAAATTCAGGAAGAAAAATTTAAGAATATCTCAACTCAAGTCTCAAAATGTTGTTTACAAAAAAAAAAAGAGGCACGAATATGAAAGTACAGAAGGTGTTAAAACACCACTAAAAATGGACTTGGTAAAGAGCCTACACTGGAAACACATACCTTTGTCAAAGCATTAAAATTATCATCTCAGAAGACAATTCACTTAGATTTGTGAAAAAAATGCAAACTAGACTGTCATAGATCACTGAAATACCTAATCTAAAGGCAGTGCAAAATGATGGCTGGTGAAGGGGCAACCAGTCATCTTGCAAAGTGAGGGACTCCAAATTACTCATCACTGACCTCCTTAATAATCTGCATTGAAGGACCTGATGAACAATACTGAAATTCTTGTCATGCAATTACAACTGTTAAGTAACCAATATGCAACTCGAGTGATACAGTCCTCCATGGTGGATTATTAAAGTAATAACCCATTAAAGAATAAGGTCAAAGGGGAAAGTGGTAAACATCAGTTGCCATAAGTGAACACTTCAAAAATTTACAATTAAATAAAATGTTAGATGATAACTTATAAAAAGAAGTACTGAACACAACAAAGCCACAATAAATTAGTGTTTCCATAAAATGACATGCTGAAGGTTTTGTTCCCAAGTCTATACATTTTTTACTGTCTGTTAATTCCTAAATATTGACAGTGTAATTGAATAATTGAGGTACAGTAGTTTACATTTGTATATGTCTTGTAAAAAGGTTAATTTTTTTCTTCCAGTTTTTCTTCCTCATCGCCAAAGAACAACAAAGGAAACATTCCTAAAATGCAGCCAACAGTCACTCCAATAGCTTTACCCTAGAGAGAGGGGGGAAAAAGTTAAGTTTCTCACTGAACAGTTGTTATTCATTTGCTGTGTAGTACCTATTCAGCCAAGAAAACAGACCCTTTGTTCTAGTTTTCAGCTGGGAGCCACATTTTTCTTAGCATGCAGACTAGAAATACAATCTATGAGAGAGCGAGAGAGAGAGATGACAAGATTAGAAACAGTGTGTGCTGTGATAAAAGACAATTCTGAATAAAGAGGAGGGGAATGACCCATGAAGAACTGCACAGGTGGTAAGGGAGGGAGATTCAAAGAATTAGTAGGATGGCCAGGAAAACAGAGAAGAAAATTAACATACATTTTAGGTGCATTTATAAACATATCTGTTTCTATCTGGTAATGCAAATCATCAAAGTCCTGAATGAGGAATTCATTGTGAACATAATGGCTTGCAAAGGCACAAGGTGAAAACAAACAAACAAAAAAAGACTGGAAAACATTTCACAATTGACCTAGATGTAGAAGTCAAGAGTAAAGGAAAGTAGTAAGACAGGCAACATCCAAACCACATCACCAGGAGTAGGTGGATAGTGTTGAGAGCCTTGAAACATCAGGTTAAAAAAAAAAAAAAAAATAGCTGGCATACAGGCATAGATGCTCAGAAGTCTTTTCACAGAAAAGTGCTCTGAATGAACCGCAGTGCAATGGCTTCCACCAAGACGACTCTTATGTTGGACAGCCCACAGCCAACATGCCAATTCTTCCCTGCTCAATGCTTTCATCTATCTCTGCTAAAAGCAGACTTTTTTCTCCCCCTAACTTTTCCTCAGCAAGGGTTATTTCTCTGCCCTTAAATCTGCAAAGGTATTTTTCCCCATGAAGATTCACTGTAAAACAGTAAATCTGTTTCTTCACTCAGTTTCCTATCATTTCTTTCTTTAATCAAAATAAACTAATGCTGTCATTGCTGAAGTGGGACTGCTTCAAATGTTTAAATGTTAATTAAGTAATCATCCTGAAAATGAATCTGCAAGATGAGTGCACCATAACTGTAAACACAGGCAGTTTATATTACTCAAATGCTAAAAGTTTACCCAGGGGAAAGCTAATTTCATATCCAAGCTAATTATAGAATATTAGAAATGAATACATACTAGCACAGGTATATGAATAGCAAGCATTTGACAAAGAATGTATAGGAGTAAACTACTAAGGGGTCATAACTTTCAAATAAACTATCTTATTACAGTAGCCAGAGCTCAATCCAGGTATCTGCATAGCATACGCAAAGGCACTGCAGAGACTACTCATGTTATTAGTCACTCATGGTTGGTTGCACACAAAAAACCACCCAAGCCCAAAACAATCCAGTCTCATGATGCTCCCTGACATAGGCTCATAACTAAACCTTCCAACAAATGTGCAAAACGTTGGTGGTCGTTAAGTATTTAATGGCAAAAGTGACAAAAATTATTTACCACTTACTAGTTTAAACAAAAAAAAGCTACACGCAAACAGTGCCTACCTACAGGATACTCACCAAATGTGCACTGAGACGTGTTTGCCACATATCAGCTTGTTTGGGTGTCAGATCAGGGATTGACAGACCCAGTCGTGAAGCTAAAGCTTCTACATAACCCGCAAGACTGAAAGAACAAGAAAACAAGAACAAACGATTTGGGATCTGACTGTATCTTCTAGTAAGGATTTTGAAATATTTGAAGCACTGAACTTAAAATGAAGAGCTTTTCCTTCAGCATAGTGATAAAGCAAGCCATCAAGACATAAACATGGGAAAGCGTTCAGACTTCGGACAGTCACATTTTGTAATGTAAGTTTAATTTTCTCACTGATTTAATATGCAATATTTCCAGAAAGAATTTATGTGGTAAGACACAACTGGTGTGAATGTTACTGTATTTTTACAGAGCTTGTAAGTGACCTTTACTGGAGGAAAGGTTATGCACACACACACTAGTTAGTAATAAGCCTTGTTATTTGCAGAAGAAAAGTATTAGAGGGCAAGTGGGAAACAGAGGCGTAACAGACAACTTTACTTTCATCAATTACTCAGAAATTTCCTTCAAAAAAGTCAGCTCCATCTGTTTACACCAGAAATAGGTATGTCGAGATCTGAAGACATTTCAGATATATAATTGTTTTATCTGAGGAAAAGGAAATGTCTCTAGATCTAGGCATAATAATCTGAGGAGGTATATTAGGTATATTCTATCACAGTAACATATTAAAAAGTATTTTTCCATTTTGTATTTCAATGAATTCACTTTTTGTAGAAAAAGTTCTAATCCTTTCTTTAAAAGCAAGCATTACCTACAGACATATATTCAATCAGGTTAAACATCAATCCCAATTTTATCACTTAAAATACATCATACCGCGGTAGCAGGGGAGTTATTCTGTTTCAGAACTATGGCATTGCAGTTTTAACCTCGACAAGAACCACCTAATATTCCAACTTTTTCTTAGCAAGGACAGGATGCATTTCTACAGTCACATAGTTTACTGAAGCAAAATTCAAAAGCTAGCAAAAAATAAAACAATTTCAGCAGTTTATATGTTTTAGTTCAGTAGCACCAATAGTGCTTGCAATAGAAGCGGGAAAAAAAAAATATTCTTAATACAAGTTCAGACATACCCCAGTCCAGCTAAATCTGACACAAGGTTTCCCAAAGCTGCAGCTGGAGGGAGGAAGAGGGAAGAGAAGGGGAGAAGGCAGCAAAGTATTATTTTAATTACAAACAAAACCAACTAGCTCCCCTCCCTCCCCCACCCCCACTGACCCTCACTCTTCTCAGTATATATAGCATAAAATATTTTTATTTTAGAGTTTTTCTTCTGACCTTATTACAGTTTGTAATAACAGCAGTGGACTAACAATAACAGGAAGCACAACTGTTTTTGTCAACTTACATGAAAAAAACTCAACAAATACAAAAATCAACACTGACGCTTGGAAATCAATGTAACCACTTTTCAGGTCAGACTTAAAAACAGCCATGTGTGGTTGCCAGTTTCACACAGCTAATGTTGGACACCAAGCAAGGCCTTCCAGTGCCTGAAAAGGCACAGGAGCACTGGAAATAGAAGGAGCTGTTACTCACCTATGAGCTTTGATAAACATTTCAACATATCCATGAAGTGTGTCAGTTTAGGAATAAATACTGTACGTGTTACTGAATAAAGTTACACACTTAAAATACATGATTTCACAGCAGATCTCATTGAGATAAGCTTGCTTGTGACTGTCCTGCACTGCAACAGAAGGCTGCAAATTTCCAAATTATTAACTTGTTCTGCTATATACATTTGAATTTAAACTATCTGTGTGCTCTCGAGCAATCCTGCACCTGCAGTTGGTGGATCCATGAGCAGGTTTTTTTCCTCTGATACTACAGAGGCACCAAAGCTGTTAAGCAGAGCTTACAAGTTTTGGCCCAGTGTAGGAGCAGACTGGCTGCTTGGCCTTCCCGTGGTACCACACAGAGGCAGAGAAGCCACCAAGAACACCGGCCAACACAGTCTAAGGACACCAACGCTGATCTTCACTTAGCATTGCAAGTAAACAACAACTTACAAATACATATATACACATACATAAATATCAGACCCTAGGGAATTTAGAGCAGTTCAGCAGTTCAGTTTCATTACAGACGTGCAAATACACTTTCCCAAGTGACCCAGGATTTGAACTTTTAAATTAAAACCAACAACAAACATTTCAAAAGCTATTTGAACTGAAATTCCATTTCTGCAAACGGAGTATGTCCTTGCTTCAATCACAGGTTGTTTCTTTATTAGGAAAGGCAGCTGCAAGACCAAGGAAGAGCCATTTCCAGCTCTGTGGTCTGTTTTCAGCCTAAAATATAGGAATGTGCCGTATTAGTCTACACATACTGCATTTTTATTACTTGCCTGCCATAGTTGAAATTCCTAGGACAACTCCAATTGACAATTCTATTTGGGTTCCCTGAAAAATAAGAGTTTTCTCATTATTTGAGGGATTTGGAGTTAAAATAGATTATATTGATTCAACTGGCAAAAGTATTGCTTACTGCTTGTTTATGTTAAAATTGAAAGGATAAATAGACATTATTTCTACTAGATCTGCACAGCTCCCACTCTCCTGGCATATATACCTCCCCCTAGGACAAGAGCCTACTTCTGATATTCTTTTAATATTTTATATTGTTTCATAATGGCCAGCTAATGGACAAAACCGTAATCCCTATCACTGCATACCATTTTCCTCACTGTAATTCTTAACTGAATGTATAGTTCTGAATGCAAACTACAAATACTGAGCAAATAAATAAAACAGTATCACAGCCCCTTAACTTTTTCAGTTGAAGAACGAAAATCACAGTGAACTGCACGATAAAACAGCAGTATGTGGTCCAAAGATGAGAGACAACGTGTATGAATTGAAACAAGACATGTTCCAGGTGGATACAGGAAAGCGTTTCCCACTGTGAGGACAGTTAAGCATTGGAACAGGCTGCCCAGACAGGCTGCGCAGTCTCTGCTCTTGGTTTTCCTCATGTCCCACAGGATAAAACCATGAACAACTTGGTCTGACCTTACAGCTGATCCTGCTTTGCGCAGGAGGTTAGACTAGAGACCCTGGGAAGGTCCTGAGCAGGAGCAAGGCTAGAGACCTGCAGTTCCTTCCCACCTGAATTATCCCAGGATTTAAATCACACTGTCACTGATAATTCTACGGGAAGAGCAGTATCTTTGGCCTTTATAGATCTTCCTGTTCCACTAGCCGATTTAATCTTCCAAATAAACACGAAAATCTCTCAAGAGTGTTACTCAGAAATGCCAGGCTACATCAGTACAAATCAACATCAGCACTAACAGTGCCTGCATCACTCAGACCACAGGAACACATCAGTAAAAACCCGAAAACCTATTCATCAACGCATTATAATCACATTTAATCAGTCAGTACAAAAATGCATCGACTACATGATCATAAACGTGCCTTACAGCACAAATGAGCATAGAAAAAAAAGCAAGCCTCTTAATTCAGTAAAATTTGATACAATACTGGCCTTCGGAAGGAACAACACTCCTTTGCATTCTGCAAAGACTGAACAAAGCATGGATATTTTCTTTAAGAAAAGAGAAATTAAAATAGAAATTAGTGAGTTGATACAGAGGGAGCAGTCTCTTCCTGAAGCTCTCAGTCTAGTCTATTCTATTCTACTTGAATAATATGAATCTTCCTGACCTGATCAAGGAATTAAATAATGAACTTACCGCAGCAATCATAATTGCGTTATCCAAAAATCCAAACCCTACAAAAGGTAATGCATTGTGGAAGAACACTAAAAGAAATAAGTAAGAAAGAGAAATATTTATAAGAGAATTCACTAGTTCACACAAACAACTGAAATGTCAGTCTAATACTGCCTTCAAGAGAAACAAAGACAACATACACAAAATCCCTTTCCTGCTACTTCTACTGGTAACCTTTTTATTTCTGGCACGTTTGGTAAAACCCTTCGCTACATAGAAGTGTTACTAATGGCTTGCGAAGAACCAGTTAAATCAACTTACTCTGCAAATACTTGTACAAGTTTGGATGGAAGTCACTTATGTCTACTAGTGCTTAAGAGAAATATTTAAAACTGCACAAACTTTGATACTATTTACAGTCCTTCCAACCAATGTTGCAGTATCACTGAAGATTGCCAAACTGTCTTACCAGACTCCCTGCATTCTTCTCTTGCTCAAAACACAACCCCTTTCTCTGCAAGTCACTCTATTCCTATGCAAGCACTCCATCTTCTTCACACATTTCTAAAAATCTGTATCTTAAAAGAGTATTGCCGGGAGGTAGATAATTCTTATCAAAACTCCTTCAGCTAAATCTGCAAATGCTAAGGTGGGTTTCACTAGGGTGTCATACAGCGTTAATTATCTCACTATTCCAACCCAAACTTGTTTATCTTGGTTTGGGCACCATGCTGAAAGAAAGTTAGACTTGAAGCTGCTCCGCCATACACTGTTTAAGAAATCAAGTTCCACCTTTTGTTTCATGCATTTTTTCTTTTCACTCCTGAAATTCCAAGAAAACCCGATTTGAAAATATTTTCTATTGCAGGTACTTGGAACATGCTGCTCTGAATAATTTCTAACAAGCAGCACAGTGTTGTTGTTTTTGTGTTTATATCATGTACTATATCATTCTTTTTTGTCCTGCTCCATTTTCTCTCAAGTTTTAGCTTGTAAGTTTCTGATAGGAGATGGGACTGAATTTGCACAGCATTATGCCTCCAGCTGAGGTTCAAGGTGCTAACTTAGCTTAGAAAGTTAGAACTCTTCACTTTTTTTAACATTTAAAATGCATCAGTTATATAGGGGTTTTTTTTTCCACTTCAGATGGGACCAATAATTCCTGTATTTTATAAACTTACAGAAATGCAAACACAGGAAGAGTGAAGAAAGAAGAATGTACAAACCTTAGCCATGTGAAAAGAAACTGGTATGAGTCCCTTTTGGGTTTACCTCTCGCAGACAGCACGAATCCATGACCATATAAAAAACAAAGCCACACTCCAGAAATCTTTCATGCTCAGGTACTAGAACATGTTTGGACTTCTGTAACTACTTTGCAAGAACACATATACCTTCATAAATGCAGAAGTAAAACACTAAAGCACAAAATGTATGAAATTTTCTGGTTTTTTGTTTGTTTGGGTTTTTTTTGCACAAAACCCTCAAAAACATAAATACCAAAAAAGCACACAGATATGCCCGTTATTTTCACAATGTGCATACCAAACTCTGGAGCTACAAAGGGAGCTCAAATTCTTACCAAAATTGACAGAATTTTGGAATCCATTGAGTAAACAGAACCCCAGGGACCAAGCAAAACGAACAAAAAACCCAAAGAAAAGTAAGTGTAGATATCTAGAATAGGAAAACGTTCAACTAAATACATTTGCTTACTGAGAGAGTATAAAACCACAAAAATACACCGATTTGGAAACTAAATCAGAATTTGGATGATGATGTTATATAAAGAATATCAAATCTATCTGCAATTTTATCCCACTTCTCAGTCCATTTAAAATATAGGTGACTAGAAGCAAGTTAACAGTTTTAAGCTTAAACACAAAAAACCCCCACAAGGTACAGCAGCATCAACACTGTTTGGCTTAGGAAAACAACACTTACTCCTGGCTTTGAACAGTGAGCTCTCATTTGGGCTTTCTGTCCTACTTTCAGTAAATGGTGCACATTCTCCTGCTGAGGTGTTATGAAAGAAAGAAGGCAGGGTGACTGTTGGTGCTTGCTTTGGTTTTCTGTTACTCCATAAAACAGGGATGAGGACAGACCAGCACTTGGAGGAGAAAGATGAAGCAATTCAAAGACAGACTGCACAAGTACTGAATCACATTCAACAAACATTCTTCTTTTACCATGTTTCAGTTGTCCTGGAGATGGTGGTGCAACCTCCAACTTCTCTAGAGAAGTCAAAATGAAACAAGAAAGTTAGCCAGTTCATCACAAATTCAGTTTTTTATAATATGTTTACCAAATTACTAGCAGGCAAAAAAGCAGTTATGTTATTTAACAGCTTTCAAATTTGAAGAAAAATGGTTCATATCTACATTTTTATTATTTTTTACAAAAGATAATGTTATTAAAAGCCAAAGTCTTAGAATAATATGGCAAGATTAACCTAGTATAAGTGATTATGCAAAGTAACAGCATACATTAGAAGCAGCCCAAGAGCCATCTTTGTTACTGAAAATTAGAACAAATACACTAAAATTAGAAAAACCTGGACATCTAAAGGGATGAGTATTTTATTATTTATTTTTAGAGGTCCTCTAAACATGCAGCAGACAATGTTCTTTACTCCAGAGACAGTCTGAAAAAAAAAAACACCTGTACCATTTCTGTTCTGACAGAAGGCATCTTTTAATAGTCAGTACAAGAATAAAAGAAAAATACTACAATGACATTAAAGACCACTGATTTCAGTAGGAGCAGATCAAGTTTTGTCATTTGGCGCCTGTTTCAAGGTATCCTGGCCTCAAACCATCAAGAGCTTGGAAGGACCAGGACATCACTCCTCAACCCAACAGAGTACTTCATAAGAAGCTAACACAGTCTATTAGAGGTGACGTACAGAATGCAGTAGCAACAGCTACTCATTTCACAGTGGAAAGGAAAAGAAGAATCAGCGCCTTTTTTTTTTTTACACTTTTGTTGTTGTTGGTTTTTTTAAAATGTGGATATTGAGTATCAGACCCTTTTTTTAAAGCAGAAAAAAAAGTTGCCCCAATATCTTCCAGTATTATGAACCCTGAGCTTTTGACAAGTTGCTCCCATACTTTTGATTAAGTAACTTCTATAGGCAAAGGTAGAACATGGTAAAACACGAGAAGAGCCTACAACACTACCTCAAGTATTCAAATTTTACTTGGGGCAGTCAAGTACCTTAAAAGACAACGCTGCAAACACAAGCTGTAAATCATTTGAGCGTATGGACTAAACAGTGCAGCCTAGAGCGAGTATCCCTGCATCCAAATCATTCCTACATTCTTAACAACTATATTGTTAACAACTCTTAACAACTTTCGCACTTTAGCGGTTACTGAAGAGCTGGTTCTTCCCTCTGCCCAATAGACAAACTACCTCAGCTCTACAAACACCAGATGTACTCATCATGCAAGTGGGAGAAGCACAGCCCAAATATTACACAAATTAAGATTTTTTTTTTTTCTTTTTCCCTAGAAAATGCCAAGGAGTTCAGACTCAAACCTCAGGCTGGATGAGGAACAAAAGAACATCCCACGGTAAACAGAGGGGAGACCTGCAAGAGCCAATCTTCCAAAGCCACAGGCATCACTGGTGCCCGATGGCCGGAAAACATCAGACCAAAACTTTCAGTTGTATTCAGGAAAGATGGGACTGATTTGCCCCAACACAAACTTCTGCGCTTTTCTGCATATGGTCTCCCTCCATCCTGGCAGGTCAAGCAAAACTGTTACAGAAGCATGGAAAAAGAGAGCGCTGTCTATATACACCAGGGGTGCCCTTTCAGCAGCTTTTCTCGGAGACAGCAAATTTGTACAACACTGGGGAAAATCAGAGCCACTTTGAACCAAAGAGATTAACCGAGGTCACTATTTCCAAAAGCTCTAGATGCCCTGAGGGTGGCCAGGCAACCTAAGCCAGCACCATCACATTCCTGACGAAGCTTTCCTAACCTCCTCTTGCTCCATCCTGCTGGATGCCAGGGAGAGAATGAAAACCCCAAAATCACGAACTCAAGCACAGAAAGTCACCCAGGGAGTGCTGCCCTCCACAGCTTTCTGCTCCAATGGGAAGCTATCACACCGACCAGCGTGGTTCCTTGGCTTCATGTGACACTGCCACTGAAACCATCCCCGCTGAAGTACCATCTATTCTGCAAATCTAGTTCTCCATATACAAGGATTTCATGATAAAAAGCTCTAATAGCATAAACAAACCTCCAGGAAACACTCTATTTACCTCTAAGGAAGACATCTTTTCACAGTTTGCCCTGATTATGATAACCAGTTAGTTCAGATAATTCCCAGGTGACGTATCTTTGGTACCAACACAGAAGACTATTTGGTTTCTCACTAAATACTACAAAGCTCTAGAACATCAGTCTTGTGAATTTAACTACAACTGATTTTTGAGTTTGATAGCACATGGCACACTACATAATTACACTCTATCCAGTGTAGCTAGAAAGCTATTTAAAAAAGCTAGTGCATAATTGATTTTAGAAACTTATTACCAAAAGGAGGAATTGAGGGCAAGTGTTCGGTAAGAGAAAAAACCAATTCTTTTACATCTATGGATACTGGGAGCTTCAAGTCACATTAACTAAAAAGAACATAAACCTCCCCCTTCAGAATGTAAGTCAAGGACTATCTTGGGATGGTTTTAAAAGGAGGGAGGCCGGGGGGCCACTACTTCGGGGTTAGAGGAAAGATGAGTTAATGCAAGAAAGAGGTAAAGAGCAAGGGATTAAATATAAGTAAAAA